TTCATCAACTTTTTCATCCGTAATCTGTGAGTGAGGGTTTAAGATTAAAGATTGTGGAAGTGATTTACTTTAACTTCACTGTTGATTCATAATTTATTTTAGAATTTAGATTTATTTTCTGCTACAAGTATTGTTGGCAAATGTGTGGATTTTGAGAAGTTGTTTTGAGCTATTTAAACTAGAACCTTCTAGTGTTAATGAATTGACAATTGTGTTCTGTGAATGATGAATTATTAATTCAGTAACTCAAATTAAAATTATATTGCGTCAATAATTTTGAATTTTGTGAGGAATTTTGATTGCATGTGTCAATAACCAAATCCAATATTGCTCTTTCTCAACTTTCTTACTACGTTTGGTCAAAAAAAAAACTTTCTTACTGCGTAATACTAGTATTTAAGTATTTAACAGTGACTTTTAATGTACTCCGTATGAAGTAATTGCTTTATGTATTGAACTTTACTTTTTATAATAAAAAATGTTCTTACTTTATAATTTCAGAGGCCCATTTTTGTGACATGCCCCGGGTCTCCAAAATGTCAGGACCGGGCCTGTTTAGTTTTTATTCATACTATTGTTATTTACTTATATTTACATATTACATTTAGTTAATATATACTTATATATATATATTAAAGTATTAAGTATAAGTGTATTACTCATCTTATAGTAATATACTTATATATTATATACTATAAACATTATATTATATATTATTTATAATACATTTACACATTATATAAACTATATAGACTTATACACATTCATACATTTTTATAAAAGTAGTTAATTGTTAGACTTCTCATTTATCTATTAAATTAGTTAATTGTTACATATCATTTTTCATTTAATATTAGTTAAACTAGTTAATTGTTACATTTGTCATATTAATATTAGTTAATTGCTACATTGCTCATTAAAGTAAAAAAAAAAAAACTAGTTAATTTTTACATTTGTCATATTAATATTAGTTAAACTAGTTAATTGTTACATTTGTCATATTAATATTAGTTGATTGCTACATTGCTCATTAAAGTAAAAAAAAAAAATAGTTAATTTTTACATTTGTCATATTAATATTAGTTAAACTAGTTAATTGTTACATTTCTCATATTAATATTAGTTAATTGCTACATTTCTCATTAAAGTATTAATTAGAAGTAGTTCAATTTTTTTTAAGGAAAACAAATTGTTACATTTGATATACTCATATTTTAGTTCGAAATTGCTATAGTTTTAGTCACATTATACTATTACTATTCTACTTATATAAAATATTTGATATCATTTCATATTTGTTCAATTTTAAAGATGGACCGTGGTAGACATTCTGTAGATATGGGTAATCTCCAATGCAACCGCAAGAAGGAGATTGCGGCGACTCGTCCTACTTCACGCAAAGGCAAAGGTAAAGCGCGGGCTGAGTCTTCTTTTCAAAGTCGAGATGATTTTGAAACGGATTACCAACAGAGAGATGATATGGCGATGTCCGACGAGCAACTACAAAACCTATTGTCCCAAAATGATCCACGCTTTGCACAAGAACAACAATTCCCGACAACCATTGATGAAGAGGAGCTCGAGGATGACGATGCGGAGGAGGACGAGGGGGGCGACGGGACTCACGGCACCCCGGATGATGAGCAAGAGTTGGAGGACGAGGGCGGTTCATCCCAAATTGGTAAGAAATCTAAATCTCCTATTATTGAAAACAATTTTACAAAAAGGAAAGACAAAAATACCGATAAATGGTACGCAAGTTGCAATCATTGCAACAAAGAGTATAGCTTGGGAACTTCTGGCGGATACGGGAGTCTGACAAGGCATCTTAAGTCCGCCCACTTTGTGGAGTATGCGAAAATAGACAAAGGCAAGGGGAAGCAAACACAAATATCGAGGTTTGCAAATTCTCAACCCTTTGGTAATGTCTCCTATGATGATCAAAAACATTTGACGGGTATGTCTCATTTAATTGTTGAAGAAAATTTATTCTATATTTTTTCCGAAAGTCTTGCTTTAAGAGATTATGCTCAAGGTACTTTAAATCCTCAATTTAGAAATTATAGTCGCAAAACGATTAAAAAAGAAGTTATAAGGCAATATAACTTGGAAAAAGAAAAATTACAAACATTTTTTGCAAACTTTGATGGACGTGTTAGTATTTGTAGCGATATATGTGAGGATACTTATCATCATTTATATTATTTGGGTCTTACTGCACATTATATTGATGATGATTGGAATATGCATAAACGTGTTCTTGCTTTTTGTGAATTCAATGATCGTCACTTTGCTGATAATATTTATATTCTCATTGAGCGTATTTTAATTGAGTATAATTTGATTGATAAGGTGTTTGCTGTAGGTTTTGATAATGCTAGTAATAATACTGCTGTTATACCTAGATTGCGTGAATTATGTGGTGCTTCTACATTGATGGGTAGGTTTTTTCATCAACGTTGTGCATGTCATATTCTAAATTTGTGTGTACAAGATGGGTTTGCGGCATTAGGAGATGCTTTGGAGGTAGTGAAGGGGGAGATTAAATTGATTTGGGCTAACACTCTACTAAAAATGCAATGACGGCAATATTTGAAGGATAGACGTGTCAATTATTGTGTTTTTCCTAAAGATTTGTCTATTCGTTGGAATACTACTTATAACTTAATTCAAGTACTTATTAGATATAAAGATCATTTTCCTGCTTTTTAAGACAATCTTGTAACTATATTATAAACCCGGCTGACATCGACACTTGTGAAAAAATTGTTAATGTTTTGGTATATTTTAATAACGCAACTCAAACTTTTAGTCATGTTTATAAACCTACCGCAAACGAATTTTTTGTTGAAGCTGTTAATCTCGCCGGCGCTTTTTGTGAATTTTCCGATGCCGCTTACGTTAGTTATTTTTGTGATTTCATGAAACAAAAGTTTTTAAAATATTATTCACATATTCCGCATATATATGGTATTGCATTTGTTCTTGGTCCTCGTTATAAACTTGCTTACTTGGGAACTTGTATAGATTACTATTATGCTTCTTTTTTTCCAACTCAAGAGTTCGATGATAATCCCATCGACCCTAAACAAGAATACAACGAGGTTAGTAATTTATTTCATCAATTGTATAATGAATTTCATGCACAATATGGTAATGCACCCCCTCCCATGCCGCGAACATCTTCTTCATCTAAAGGAAAATCACTTTTAAAATCTGCATTTGGTTCTCTTTTGAAAAAAAGTAGAGCAACTCCCGCTACTGAACAAAGCTCAGTTAACGAGCTTTCTTTGTATCTAACATTGAAGGTTGATTATGAAGTTGGGGATGACTTTGACGTTCTTAAGTGGTGGAAGGAAAATGAAAGAACGTTCCCGATTTTATCAAAGATGGCTAAGCAAGTGTTAGCAATGCCGATATCAACAGTTGCCGTGGAACAAGAATTTAGTGCGGCCGGCAACGTCCTAACCGATTATAGAACGAGGTTGAGCTCGAGCTCTCTTGAGACGCTAGTTTGCTTCCACGATTGGTTGAAGGCCCAATGAAGAACTCAATAAATGACTATCGCTCCCACCCGCCACTTTATGGAGGAAACAACCACCGAAGACGGAGATTCCAATTGATTTTTATTATTACAAAATGTATTACATTTATTAAATTCATCCTAATTCTTAATTGTACTTCTTATTTGAAATAAATATACTTGAATTATTTTATATTATTGTGTACATCAATTCAATAATCAACAAAAAAAATTATTCAATAATCAATTCAATAAAATTAATTTGTAAACTTGTACTTCATATTTCAAATAAATATGCATTCATTTTTTCATATGTAGAACTTCTCAAATTAATTAATTGGTTACAAACTTACAAGTTACAACTTAAAATTATTTTTCTAAAATCTAAAGGTTGTTTTTAAATTAAAAATACATTTACAATATGTAATTTGTTTAAATACTTATACACCTATTTTGTAACATTTGTAAATTATAAATCAAACCGCTTTTCTAAGTAAAAATAGTTTTACTTAATTCATTAAATTAATTAACTTATTTTACAATATGTATAATTTTCAAAAAAAAAATTAAAAACATTTTAAAATACAAAATAGCTCCCAAACGGCTATATAGCCGTTGGGGCTTTGGTGGGGGGTAGGGGGGTCCCGGGGGTGGTGGTGTGGGGAGTGGGGTTCAAAACAATCTATAAATACATCTATTTTCTACCATTTTTCTACACCTCTTCTCCAACTCTTCTCCATCTTCATCTTCTCTTATTATCCTACATTCCTACTTATACATCTACCATTTTAAAGATGGAAAGTAATTCTTCTCTTATGCAAAACAATTTTGATAAGTGGAAGGACCCGAAGACCGGACTGTGGTGGACAACTTGCAAGTGGTGCAAGAAAGAGTGTTGCTTGGGGCGTTCACACGGAGTCGGGATGCCAATAAAACATATGAAGTCATGTGACAAAGGCAAAACAACAAACGGTGGCGGAAATCCCAAAGGCGGATATTTATAAGAAAATGTATTTCATATTGTTATTTTTTTTCTCAATTCTCAAATGTACTTCCTATTTCAAATAAATGCACTTGAATTTTGTTTTTAATAAGAATTTGTATAATATATAATAAAAAAAATAAAAAAATAAAAGGCCCGGCCCGGCGGGTGGCCCGACCCGTGACCTGGGCAGGTGGCCCGGCCCAACCCGGACCCGGAGGTTACCCGGGCCGGTTCCGGGCCTCCCCTTTCCTGAACCAAGACCCGGCCAGTCCTAGGCCCGGCCCGGGCCCAACCCGGCCCGGCTATGCTATAAGATCTTTACACCCACAATTTCAAAATTATTCAAGAAAAACAATTTAAAAGGAAGTTATAAAATAATATAATTTCGAAAAGTAAAACTTGTAAATTTAGGTGTTTCTTATATTTTTCACAAATTTTCCTGAACATATCACTATTTGTAAATTGTAACAACATATGGGAAAATATTTACCTTCACTAGTATTATTCATTTATTTTTTGTCCGTAGCTTTATTCAATATCATATTTGGTAATATTTGTGTGATTTTAATTCAATATGACTTTATTCCTACTTAACCAACTCAACATCAACCACTAACTATATCACTGCCTCAATCGCAGTTGAATATGAATAGTAGAGGTAATATCAATAAATAACAACTATACATTTACATATTCGTAGAAATCGAACCAAAATTTGTGCATGAATGTTTTATATTAGTAGCCAAAACATCACATGAAGAAACATGAGTGCAAAACTTCCAGATCTGAAGACAGTGGTTAGTCTCCGCACTGAATGACATAATTACGGCAGCATCTGTTAACCCTCTACTAGAAATGGCCTGCAATCAACGACAAAGCTCATATTCTACGTCTTCATCATGCACAAAAGATTTTGTTCCACCATAACCCTTGCCTTTCATTTGTGCGATTAAATCTTCCAAAAGCGCATAGACTTCACCAGCACAAGGATGAAATTTATCGCCAGCAACAAATACATGTTTTTTCTGCTCAACTACTATCCAACTGCAGCCAGGTAGTTTCCTCACTCCTTTCTCTTTCATCTTTCTTCTCAAGGAATTAACCTTCTCCCAGTCCCCCGATGTTGCATAAATATTAGCAAGAAGTATGTAAGAAGATGAATTTTGAGTTTCCATCTCAATGAGTTTTTCAGATGCATGGTGTCCTCTTATGCCATCTCCATGGAGTCTGCAAGCACCAAGATATGTGGCCCATATCATAGCATCAGGCTCAATGTCTAATCTGTCAATGAACTCCTCTGCTTCCTTGAGAAACCCCCATCTGCCAAGAATATCTATCATACAGGCACAATGATCAACTCGTGGTTGAATGCCATAACAAGAAGTCATTTGGTCATATATAGCACGGCCTTCAGATACCAGTCCCACATGACTGCAGGCAGTGAGAAGACCTAGGAAAGTGATTTCATCAGGTTGTACATCAGTCTGCTTCATCTCACTAAAAACCTTCAGTGCATCATCTGCAAATCCATTTTTGGCAAACCCAACTATCAGTGAGTTCCATGAAATAACGTCCTTCTTGCTAACCATTTCATCAAATACTTGTGCTGAACGTTGAACATCACCACATTTAGCGTACATGTCAACTAAAGAACTGCTTATCAACTCATCCTTGTCAAAACCAGTATGAAAGATGAGGCAGTGAATCTTGCTACCATCTGGCAGAGAAGCAAGGGTGGAACATGCTTTTAGTGCACTTGCAAATGTTGCTTGGTCGGGCACCGCATTACACAACCGCATTTCTTGATACCATATCAACCCCTCCTCAGTGCACTCCACAAGGATATTACTAGAAATCATTGCAGTCCAGAGTACCGTGCTTTTGGGATCAGGAAGCTCTGAAAAAAGGAGTTTCACATCTGCCTGTCTCAGGGATTTAATGTACATGCAAACCAGAGTCATGGCTAAGAACTCATCACTGTATGAAATTCCAAGTTTTACAATGAAACAGTGAAGTTGCTGCCCTAGATGTAGCTTATGAGGGTCACCACAGGCATCTAACACACATGCAAAAGTCACTTCAGATGGTCTTAGACCTTCAACAAGCATATTTCTCAACAGATTAATGGCATGTTCTGTGTCCAACTGAGCATAGCCTCCTATCAAAGCATTTGTGGAGACTATGCTCCTCTCATGCATACAAGAGAAAACTTCAGTTGCAGCCTCAATGTTACCACACTTGCAGTACATGTCAACAAGTGAACTTCCAGCAAAACAACCTGTTTCTAGCCCAACTTTAATCAGAAGACAGTGCACTTCTTTCCCTTTACCAAGAGCTTTTTTATTAGCAGATGCACTAAGTACACTAGCCAAAGAGACCTCATCTGGGGTAATTCCCTCCAGCATCATTTTCTGAAACATATAGAAACCTGATTCATCTTCACCCTCCTGTACAAACCCAACAATAATAACATTCCATGATATATGATCTCTACATTGTATCCGATCAAATTGTTGCAAAGCATCACCAAGAGCTCCACATTTGGCATACATATCTACTAAAGCATTTCCAATGTATAGGTTAGATCCAAAAAATTGATTTTTGATAATGACAGAATGCAATTGTTGGCCCATATCTATATCTTCTAAACAAGCACATGCACTCAAAATGCTAGTGTATGTATATTCATCAGGTTCAAACCCAGAGAGTCTCATATTCATAAAGTGGTTTAGGACTTCGAAACCATTACCATTCTGGGCATACCCAGCAAGCAATGCATTCCACAATACATCATTTTTTTCGACCAATCCATTAAACACTTCTTTTGCAACATCCATTTTTTGACACTTCGCATACATGTTAATCAAAGAACTCCCTACATATATATTTGATTCCAGACCCTGCTTAACTGCCAAAGCATGAACCTGCAGGCCATAAACAAGATTCGCTTCACCTGCAATTGCACTCAAAACACTTCCCAAGGTTGACCGAGTGGGTTTAATGCCAACTTGTATCATGTCATGAAAACATTCTATAGCTACTACTTCCTTTCCAGCTTTTGTGTGTCCGGATATCATTACATTCCATGCCACAACATTTGGATAAGGCATCTGGGAAAATATGTGGTGAGCAACATCAAGCCTTCCTAGTCTGGCACATGCATTGATGATTGTCACATAAGTCACCTGATCCAGCACACAGCCTAGTTTCTGCATCTCCTCAAAAAGTTTCATTCCCTCCTGATGTAAACCAACTTTAATGTAACCAGAAATCATCACCGTCCAAGAAACGGTGTCAGGCCTCACCACATCATCAAAAATTCTTCTAGCATCCACCAAACATCTGCATTTTGCATACATATCAATCAGAGAACCTTCAGTAAATGAATTAAACTGATACCCTCTCTTCACAACACTACAATGTACTTGTTTTCCCAGCTCAACATCCATCAGCCTAGCACAAGTTGACAAAACTATGGCATAAGTGAATTGATTTGGCAACTCACCACTACTCCACATAAGTTGAAATATGTCTATAACATTTTCCAACAATCCTTGTTTTGAATACATCGATGCCATCGAGTTCCATGCAAAAATATCCGTCCTTTCAAGACACATAAAAGATCCTATAGCCAAATCCATTTCTCCACATTTAGCATATAAATCTACAATTGCATTCCCCAGACGACCTTTTGACGCAAACCCATGTCTAACGCTTTTCCCATGGATAGTCTTGCATGTGCTCAAAGCACACACCACTCTTTGCGGCATTTCATCGTGTATCAGGCGGGACTGGATTTGCTTGCATTGATGCAAGCATAGTTTTAAGAGGTGGTTGTAGGTAAGATTTTCAGAACAAGACCAAGGCTCAATGGGTGGGATTCGAAATTCAGTTACAGTTGTGGAAAAAAATTGGGGGCATTGGAGTGGAATTGACTTTGTGTTGAGCTGTGATAGCTTACGACAATGAGCTATGATGCACATTGAGTTGTTGATGACTCCACCAGGACTCGTTCGCAGATTTTTGGGGTCTCTCTCTCTCTTTATATATATGCGCGCGCGCGCACACACACACACACACAGAGAGAGAGAGAGATTGTGTCAAGAGGGATTTTCCCACCTAAACATCTAAAGTCTTCCAATCAACTGGAGCGAATAAGAATACATGGAAAAGATTTCTGAATGTGTATAGCAAATAAATAACGCCTGGGAAAGGTAAGTAGATATTATTTCATGTCAGGGACCACTTTAGGCCATGCATGACAGAGTAGTAAGATGTATATGGAGCAGTCACACCACTTACAAGTAGAGTAATAAAGCATCTGGACTTTACCGATCCCTAGATACTTTAATGGGTAGATTAATCGAACTCAAAGAATCTGGCCTTTAGCCCTGTTGCTCCTTTACTATCCCCAAAATGCTTTAACGGAATCACAGATAGATGACAGACTTTTACATTTTTCGAAGCATGTGGATTTTTAAGAAATATGTCTTTCTCCTCCAAAAGATTACTTACTCAGGAGCCCCCGAACCAGTGTTGTATTCAGGTTAGTTGTATTGAGATAAAGAGTGCTCAGAGCAGAAGGAGCCTGGCCTTGAAGGATATGCTTTATGCGTCAGCTCTCTAAATCCTGGGAAAGTAAGTTGTATAGACAATCATATCTGAAGAGCAAATGATTTCATGAGAAAAAAGACACACACAAACACAAAGAAAAGATGACAAACAAAAATTCTAAATTTTTCATGTCACAGACTCACAGTTTATGAGTAGCTAGAGACTAGAGTCTGATGGCAAACAGAAAGATAAACTATTAGGATTACACAAACATCTTAGTTTATTGGCCGAATCTAGTTGATGTGTGTTTTCATAAAGTTGGCACATTGTGGAGCATCTGACCATTACTATCCGGCATATCTCCAAGTTGTATGATTAATTGACTAAAAGTGCGTCAATAATGTTGATGGATAATGAATACCCATACATGCATAATTCTAGAAAGGTTAGAGGGGGGGAATGTATATATTGAATCCAACCTCCTACAAGGGTCCCAAAGCAAAGTATATATAGAGAAAGATGTGGGCTAGGCTGCTAAGATGGGACTAGCAGGCTGCAGGCCCAATTACACCAAAAAGACTACTAAATGGTATAAAGACTCTAATGTGTACAAATAAATATGTATAGTGTACAATAATATAAAAGATATCTGCTGACCGTATGTGGATCACTGTCCAAGCCCAATAGCCATGAAACCAGTGTTTCGAGTTCATATACTCTATCAAGTGTTATACTCTTCACACAGTGATTATAAATGCTTTTGTACCTGCTAAGGCTGCTATGAGTTTTGCATCTAATGTGGAAAGTCGAAACAAAAGCATTGTGCGCATGTTTGACCAAAAAATAAGTAACATAGGACGAGTAAAAAACTTAAATAAACCACATGTGCATAGGGGTTCGATCTTTTAAAACAATTTCAGAGAAACCAAAACTAAAACAATTAAAGAGAAACCAAAAGTAAAACAATTTTGCAGCCTATACTGCCTGAAGACTTCAATGCAAAACCCTAACAATATCAATAATGATAGCGCTATTATGCGGTTTCCTATAACAAAACTACGACTCGCTCTATAATTCCAGCTAAAATTGTTAACTTTTTTGCACTATCAATGGCACATATCTGCCTAAAATCTTCTTTTGGGCGAGTGATATTGAAATAACACCGACAGAAAAGGATGTGAATCAAATGGCGAAGTGGAGGTGGGAATCAAATGGAGAAGTTTACTTCAAAATGGAGGGAGCAATAACAGGAAAAACAACAAACTGTTAAAAGAAACCTAAATAATTACTACGCCGAATTGGTGTAGACTGCATAATAAGTAACAAAAACTAAAAGAAAAAACACAACAAAGAAAATACTTACATGAAGAGTGAACAAAAAGGAGTGGTGTTTCATAAGCATCTTGCCGCAGAGTGGTCAGGACAGGCCCTTATAATTTCAAGGGCTAGAGCAGATAATCATAAATCATAATGGATCTAATTTTTTTTCCTAATCTAATGCATAACAATAATACTTCAAAAAATGTAATAATAAAAAAGACTTATAATTCATCGTATCAAACAAGTAAAATCAAAATTTGAAACTATTTTTATTACACCTTGAAATTAATTAAATTTATAGTTTTAATGAAGATCCAATTTTTTACTGGAGAAATTTTAAAACTATGACAAAATCACAATTTATTTACATAACAAATTTTAACTAAAAAGCTAAAACATATTCCCAATTTCAGTAATTTAAAAAAGAAGAAAGGGTCAATAAAGCCTTCCACTATTACAAAATCGTCAAATAAGGTCATGTACTCAATAAAGTGTCATATAAATACGTCTACTTATAAACAGCAATCAAATGAGTCCTAACGACCCATTGACAACCTCCCAATCCTCAATTTTAGCTTATGTGTCATTATTTTTGCTCTGTGTTTAAGCCAATATTGGCTAAAAATTCCACATCAACTTTATAATCTATTTTGAAAAGATAGCTGACGTACGCTAAAACCGGGATTACGATGTTGTCAAAAGGTCATTAGGACTCATTCGATTTCTTTTTATTAGTAGACATATATATATATATATATATATATATATATATATATATATACATATGACACTTTTTGACCCTTTTCTCTTTAAAAATAAAATACAAAGTACTTAATACTCCATACGTTCCAAAATGTTTTGCAAAAAACTTTTTTTATCAATAAAGTTTCACTTTTTATATATAATACATTAATACAATTTCACTTTATCGGCTTATTTAACATGTCAAAATTTTATTATACGGGGAGTATTCTAGTTTGGATTTTGCTATTTCATCAACCTTTCAGCATAGTTTCTAAATATGTAAGTACTAAAAATGATTTAAATATCCATACAAATGATTTAATGTTATCACCAGTCAACCTTAAAATTCACAATTGCAACTCAATTTAGGGCAGAGGATGAATAAAATCTGAATTCACGATTCACGATTGATAACACAGCATTGCAATTCAAGTCAACAACTAGATGACTTATCAATGAAAATGTAAATTCAATAAAAACAAAAAAAGGGTGAAAAGCTATGATAACTGATTATTTCAGTAAGAGCATAAATGCAAAATATACAAGGACATAAGAGCACTAGGAGATATGGAGGACTAGAGATAATCAGAAGTTAGAATCTCATATTCAAATTACGAAGGACAAAAGGCTCAAGGAATTGACATATACACTATCTTATATATTGACTAATGGAAGTTTATGATGAGGAATTGGAATATTTTTAGGCGGCTCAGTAGTAGGCACCAACCCAACAGAGAGTCATTTTTATTGTTTAAAATAGTTCAGGCCTTCACAATTCTTTTTCCTGGACCAAATAAAATTAGTGGATACAGCCGAAAAACTCACCCTACCCACTCTTAATACAAAGCTTTAAGACTGGGCATAATTTTTTACATTTTTTTTGGGTTCAAATATGGGAGCTGAAGGACGATAGCTTAAATACCTGGTAGCACGGGGAGCAATAAGAGTAAGAACGCGAGGGCGGAAGGTTCTTTTGATTCTATGGTGCGGTGTAGTGATCATAATTGTATAAACGGTTCGGTATCATAAAGAGCTGGAGGCTTAACTTGAATAATTAGAGGCGGAAGAGCCTCTTTCACCTCCCGCAGTCTTGCTCGTACGTAGGGTTTTGGGTTGAAAGTCGAAGAAGATTTTGTCGCAATGGAGGAAGGTAGTGGAGAATTCTATTGGGTTTTGTTTCGATCTTGGCAGCGGCAAACGGAATGGAGGCACGGGAACAGGCGGTAGAGTCGGCTGTATAGTAATTTGGCCAAAATTATTGTCACGTAAAGTGTAAAGATTTTGTCACCTAAAGTGTTTGTTTTCTCTTCTAAAAGTATTTCTCCTTTCAATATCAAATGATCATGCATAATTTACAAAATAAACATCGAATATTACATTAATATCAAATGAGCATACATAATTTACGAAATGAGTATAACAAAATTCAAAAAAAATTAATATGCTCAAATATTAGTTTGTATATGCTCATATGAGTATATAATACTACCTCCGTCTCTTTTATATTGAAACAGAAGAGGGTGACACGAGTTTTAAGAAAAGTTGGTTTATGTGGTTGATATTAATTGATAAAGTAAGAATAAAATAAAAATGATGTTGAGCCACACAAACTTTACCAAATATGGTATGAAACAATTTAAGTGGAGTTTCCCAAAATGGTAAAACAAAACAATATAAATGGGACAAGGTATAACATAAACAAAGAAGCATCATTCAGAGCATTTGTAGTGGTCAAGAGTCCCAATTGTTAAATTTGGACTTCGTTCATATGAAAACAGTGTTTAGACTCTGTCAATGCTGTTTTTCCCTGCACTCATGCAACGTCAATAAAATACACTCTACATATTTTTTTACATATCAATTTAGTAAAACATTGACTAAATTATTATAAATGATGTTTTACTTTTATTTTTCTCTCTAAATAATTATGAAATAAAAAATACACATTTCGATGTAAAAATAATTATACACATTATTTTTTTTAATGTTTTTCAGATAACAAAAAATGAACTCAGTTCAAGTAAAGTTCGATTATGGAATATTAAGTTACTTTTGAAGGCTCCATAAATCATAATTTTGTGTTTCGTGTTTTTTGGGCTCAAGAAAACTTCAAACAACTAAAATTTTAGATTTTAGTTTTTCATTTTATATATTACATATTGATGTCATATGAAAGATCTTAAAAATTCATAAATATTGATATAGTTTTTGAAACGATTGGTGAAGAAATACAAAAGTTATGGAAGTTTGAAACAATTTGGGATAATAATGACATCACCATGAAGGGAACTCCGTCAACCCAAGCATCTGCCAATTAAGAGTCTAATGACATGTTTACTTCATTTCTTAGTAAAGCGTTTACTAAACTCTGCGTTATCTACCCACTGCTTAGTAAAACTTGCTGAGTAAACAAATGTTTACTTCATATGTATTAAGTTATGCTTTAAATTTAAAAGTCAAAAATAACCTCCTTCTTCCCAAACAATAACCTCCGTGCACAATTTTCCTCTTTCCCTTTATCCAGGCATACTCGAGTAACTCAACACCCCTATAGTCTCTCCGCCTCTCGTATTCCCATTTTCATCTTTCTTCCTAAAGATTAACAAATGTAAGAAGATCTTTATGTGTGCCGGAAGAGTCTAGATTTATTTGAGATCTGGAAATTTTACATGAAAATGTTCAGATCCGATTGAAAATTCTTCCAAAGTGAAAAAATCTAAAGGTGATAAAGAAATCTAAACCTGGTACACAATTTCAATTCAGAAATACAACTCGTTTGGATGAAGTCGTCTGGATATCAATGTCCTGATAGAAAGCAATAGATTCTACTCTAGCAGTATACGAGGCAGAGGGAGGTGACCGGAAAAGATAGAAACCAATGGCGTACTCGTTTGTCATCTGCAAAGGCTCGTTGTTATAATATAGAAGGGTAAGGTTGTCATCTGAAACTGCTAAAGTCGTCGGCTATTTAATACATGGGGGGTTCCATGTTTTAATACGCGGCACTTTAAGCCGGGTAGAATTCTTAGTAAGCGCCGTTTATTTTACAAGGATGTTTACTTCAGCCGTGTTAGTAAGCTAACGTCGTTTTACACGGGAAAGTAAACAGGTCCTAAAAGTTCCATTTTTAATCTTTTGGCTCCTAATCCTTAACCACTACAAATGGTCTCACACATGAAATTGCACTCATGAGCAAAAAGCATTGAATCTCAAACGACAATTAATCCATTCTGCAGAATCCGGCTTGTCTCATCTCTCAGGCTGTTACCCAATGATCCAACCGTGCCTAGTGTAACCCAACCACCTCTTGTTTATAGAACACCAAAAATCAAAACCTTCCTGCTATAGTGGGGAACAAAATCGATCCATCAGACACGGCATCACCTCGGTCATCTTCTCCAACTCTTCAAAGAAGATGTCCGCAACAAGATGTCCGGCGAAACTTCACCAAATAAAGAACAGCTCACCCCAGTCGTAACTTGATTTAAAAAAATATTACAAAAATATTCGATTATACCAAACACATGGTACAGCCGGTTGTACGCTATATTTTATCAACAAGCAAGAGTGTCAAAAAAATAAAATACTTTTTGAGTATCGTGTCAATGAATTTGATAAAACTTATTAGTCGGGGTTATTTCAATATCATTATCATCGATGATAAACTAAAAAGAAACTCAACATAAATTTCAGGCATGAAAAACAAAAAAATGGGGAAAACTATCATATAGGCCCTCGTACTATAGTCAATATGTCGATTAGGTCCTCGTACTTAAAAAACCACCCAATTAGAATCCTGAACTCCTAAAAAAGCTCAATCAGGCTTTTTAGCCGGTGCAAATCCGGTTTTCCAGTTGGCGTCCCGCGTGGCATCTCGCATGGCGTTCCACGTGGTGTTTTTTTCCTTTTCCCTCTTTTCTCTTTTATTTTTCTCTTTCCTTCCTGTTCTAACAGATGAGGTTCACAGGAGGAATTCCAGGTTTGCCCCTGAACCCTCACCACCAAGGCTTGCGGCTTCCACCGTTGGGAAGTTCGCCGACCATCTCCGGGGACTGCGGCCTCCATCAAAGGAATTGGACTTCGCCGGATTCTTGGTCGGAGTGAAGTGAAGGCGCCAGCTAAGTGGAGTGAAGGACGGAACCGCGCAAATGGAGTGGATTGGAGGGCTTAATATAAGTGTTATGTAAATTCCAGCTGCTGATTGTAGTGAATTTCGGCGGCTGATTGCAGTGAAGTCTGGCTGCAAGGTGCGGCGAAATTCGACGGTGGAGTGCGGTGTAGCACGGCAGTGGACTACAGCGAAGTCCGATGTTTGAATGAAGTGAAGTTCGTCGGCGTCGGAAATGTGGTGGGCGGAGTGTGATGCTGGTCGCTGCAGGGAAGAAGAGGGTGAACAGTGAACTGGGGTTCGCGTAGAAGAAAGAAAGAGGGAAGAGAAAAAGAAAAGAGAAAGAGAAAGAGAAAGAGAAAAAGAAAGGAAAAAAGAAAAAAGAAAATGGGGAAAAATTGCCACGTGGGCCGCCACACGGGCTATGAACCGGAAAACCGGATTTGCACCGGCTAAAAGGCCTGATTGAGCGTTTTTTAGAAGTTCTGGGTTCTAATTGGGTGTTTTTAAGTACGAGGGCTTAATCGAGATATTGACTATAGTACAAGGGCCTATTTGATAGTTTTCCATGTAAATATCATGTCAATGAATTTGATAAAACTTATTAGTCGGGGTTATTTCAATGTCATTATCGTCGATGATAAACTAAAAAGAAACTCAACATAAATTTCAGTCAACTTTGATAAAGTCAACTTTGATAAATTATCGGGCCTATCATATTCTACGTGTCAATCAACTTTGATAAAGTTACAAGTGACAAAGGAAGTATTGTTAAATGGTTATTAAATTACCCATCATCGTATATTATATATTTACACTCTAATCCATACCAAGGTTTTAAATAGTGGTTGCAATTGCGGTCAATGCACTTGCGACTATTGTGATCAATGTTATGTGAATTAAATTTACGTTCGAACAAAATAAGAAAAAATTAGTGTTGCGGCCTGATGTTGCCCTGTTGCGGTTACGTTGCGGATATTTCTCATGGATTGAAATCTCACCGTCATTGCGGTCTGATGCGGTTGCGCTATAAATCGCAACAACAATATTGCGACCGCAACATGTGTTGCGGTCTAGACTTTAAAACAATGGTCTATATTTGTTTTACACCAAGTTTTTTTACTCCCTCCGTCCTATTTAGACACAACTTACTTTTTGTGTTTTCAAAAAATATAAAAAAAAAATCTTAAGTTACCATTGATTTTGATTTCTCACTTTGTTCTTTATCAATCATTTCATCATTTACTTCATACATTTTGCAGGTTAAACTTGTAAAACGTCCACTTTATCTTGATTTTAAACTTGTGCCAAATTGAAATGTATCTTACAATGGTAGAGGAGTATGTGTTCTTGGAAAGTTGACATTCATTTTAAGCATTTTTATAATAGAATAAGTGTTTGTTATTGTGACAATTTAGTCAAGATTTCATCTTTACATGCTGCAGCACAAAATTAGTTTGTGAGCCGGTCGACATATAGAGGCGACGGTCACTATCCAGGAAGGGAATAACGAGCTTGATCGCTATAACGAGACACTCGGCACTGGGGAGCCGGTCTCGATATAGAGAATCATGTCGTAGCCGAGGGAACGGTTGTGATATGAAGAGCAGCACTACGGCAGCACATAGACGCGACAGTCATTATCCAGAAAGGGAATTACGAGCCCGATCGCGAGATCAAGACATTCATCGTTGAGGAACCGATCTTGAGATAGAGAATCATGTCGTAGTCGAGGGGATGGTCGTGATATGATGACGAGGTGATGATGACTCAGTCGTCATGTGAGGCCGATGGTCACCATCCGAGAAGGGATGGCAAGACCAATCGCTAGATCAAGACATTCCGCGCTGAGGAGTCAGTCTTGAGATAAGAACCACGTCGTAACCGAGGAGATTGTTGTGATATGATGATAAGGCGGGCGTCATGTGAGGGCGACAGTCACCATCCGGGAAGGGACGATGAGCCCAATCGCTAACTCAAGACATTCGGCGTTGAGGAGCCGATCTTGTGATAGAGAATCACGCTGAGGTCGAGGAAGCCGGTCCCACATATGTTGACGGTGCGATGATGGGGTGGTCGTCATATGGAGGCGACGTTCGCTATTCGAGAAGGGAATATTAAGCCCGGTCACCAGATCAATACATTCAG